CCATGTTGACCAGGATGGTCTCGATCTCTTGACCACGTGATCCACCCGCCTCGGCCTCCCAAAGTGCTGGGATTACAGGCGTGAGCCACTGCGCCCGGCTAATTTTAATTCTTATGGATACCTAATAGGTGTTTGATGCCCCCCCCCTTTGTTTTTTTTTGAGACAGAGTCTTGCTCTGTCACCCAAGCTGGAGTGCAGTGGCATGATCTTGGCTCACTGCAATCTCAGCCTCCCAGGTTCAAGCATTCTCCTACCTCAGCCTCCTGAGTAGCTGGGATTACAGGCATGCACCACAATACCTGGCTAATTTTTGTATTTTTAGTAGAGTCAGGGTTTCGCCATATTGGCCAGGCTAGTCTCAAACTCCTGACCTCAAGTGACCTGCCTGCCTTGGCCTCCCAAAGTGCTGGGATTACAGGCATAAGCCACCACGGCTGGCCTCGTGCTCTCTTAAATAGCAGCTCAAACACAACTTTTGTTGGTTTCTTCCCTGGCAGATGTTTGGACAGCTCTGCCCTAGAGGGACCTGGGTACAGAAACCCTGAGTGCCCAGTGTTGGAACCACTATGTGAGGAACACATTTATTTTATCAACATATCTTTTGCTAAGCAAGGTCTTCCCCTTCAGCCCTCAGCTGGGAGAAACCTTGCCACTACATAGGGCAGTTCATCAGCAGGGCAGCCTGGATTACAGGCCTGAGTCACCATGTCCAGACTCAGTCTTTTTGATATAGACATTTGGGGCTATGAACGTGCCTCTTAGCACCAGCTTTGCTGTATCTCAGGGGTTTTGATAGGCCGTGTCACTTTTGTCATTCAGTTTGGAGAATTTTTTAATTTCCATCTTGATTTTGTTTTTGACCCAGTGATCATTCAGGAACAGATTATTTCATTTCCATGTATTTATCCAGGTTCCTTTTGGAGCTGATTTCCAGTTTTATTCCACTGTGATCTGAGAGAGTGCTTGATATAATTTCAATTTTCTTAAATTTATTGAGGCTTATCATAGGGTCTATCTTGGAGAGAGTTCCATGCACTGTTGATTATAATGTGTATCTGCCATTGTTGTATGGGATGTTCTGTATATATCTGTTAAGTCCATTTGCTCTAAGGTATAGTTTAAATTCACTGTTTCTTTTTTGACTTTCTGTCTTGATGACCTGTCTAGTGCTATCAGTGGACTATTGAAGTCCCCCACTGTTATTGTTTTGCTGTGTATCTCATTTCTTAGGTCTATTAGTAATTGTTTTAGATTTGGGAGCTCCAGTATTAGGTGCATATACGTTTAGGATTGTGATATTTTCCTGTTGGACAAGGTCTTTAACCATTATATAATGTCCCTTTTTGTCCTTTTTAACTGCTGTTGCTTTAAAGTTTGTTTTGTCTGATATAAGAAGAGCTACCCCTGCTCACTTTTGATGTCCATTTGCATGAAATGTCTCTTTCCACCCCTTTAAGTTTATGTGAGTCCTTTTGTGTTAGATGAGTCTTCTGAAGGCAGCAGATAGTTGGTTGGTGAATCCTTATCCATTCTGCAGTTGTGTATCTTTTAAGTGGAGCATCTAGGCCATTTACATTCAATGTTAATAAAGAGATGTGAGGTACAATTCCACTCATCACACTATTTGTTGCCTGTGTACCTTGGTTTTTCATTTTTGCTTTTTAAATTGTATTTTTGTTATATAGGTCCTGTGAGATTTATGCTTTAAAAAGGTTTTGTTTTGATGTGTTTCTAGGATTGGTTTCAATATTTAGAGC